GAGACGCTGGGGGGCTTGGTCGTCTTGGGATTTTTGTGAATAAATTCGGGGGTATGGCTTGAATTAATGTAGGGTCATAATAATTAGAATAGGGTTTTGGGGGTTCCTTGTTATGATTATAGTATAATATACATAAACCAAAACCCTATTCTACTTATTAAGACCCCTACATTACCCTGTTTAGGGTCTACGTACCTACAACGAAAAGCTTCTAAGGACTCATATGCCAAGGCTTTGAGGGCCTAAGACAATGCTCTGTACGAGTTGTTTTTTTGTTTTTTCCATTTCTGTTCCTGGAGGATACTCCGAACCCAAATAATAATATAGGGATTACAGTCGCCGCAACGAGGGTTAAAGGGTACTTGCTGTACCACCGAGCCATCACTCTTCCAATGAAGCCCTTGTTTATACTGAACACGAATCCAATAGCTTATTGTAGGGGCCTTAATGATTAGAATAGAGTTTGGCGTGGTTCCTTATTATAACTGTAGTATAATATATACCCCCCAAACCCTCTGCTAATTATTGAGGCACCTATATTACCCTTTACGGGGCGTACCCTGTAATCAAGACAAGGGTCGATACGTTAAATCTTGAGTTTAGTACTAGACGTGTAAGTACAAATTGTAGGGCTCTGCAAGGCTTGTGTAGTTTATACAGGGGTGTTAACATCTAGACCGGTTTCTGAGTAGTGCAGGAAGTACCTGCTAACCTTTTGGTACGTTTGGTGGTATTGAAATCCCAAGAAATCCTCACAAACTTTGGTTTAGGGTTTAAGGTTTACCCATAGGCCCCATAGTAGTTCCTTTTTGGGGTTACCTTATCGGATTTTATATATGAACCCCATGGGCTTATGGGTAGATTTAGGGCTTAGGGTTGAGGGTGCCTTTACGACCTGAAAGTGTATTTTTAGCCTTTTGATCCAAGTGTACTGGCCAGATCAGATTACCTTGAAACGAAGCCTTGTCGGCAAAGCAAAAGCTCGGGTCTTTCACTTTAGGGAGTATACCCATAATCAGGGGGGTCAGAACCTGCTATCTTGTAGCATTACTATAATATGGAAGCGTGACTAAACACGGTACATACTAGTTAACTAATACAGTTCAACATTCCTTGGAGTTGCTTAATATACCTATACCCTCCCCCCCGCTCCTCCACCGCCCTCAAAAAAAAGCAGTGTTTCAATTATCAAGGCCCGCTATACCAGTGGAGCCCTGAACCCTAAACCCTAACAACCCTAAACCCTAAACCCCTGCTCATGCAGGTTCTCCGCGTCACACCCATCGAGCAGCACCTGCAGGCGCCGGCCCTGCAGTTGGGGTTTAGGGTTTCGGGTTTAGGGTTTGGGGTTTAGGGTTTTGGGGTTTTAGGGTTTTAGGGTTTAGGTAGAGGGTTTAGGGTTTAGGCTTTTCATAGAAGCCCAAAGGTTCAACATATCTCCAAAGCCCTGTATGGCATGGTCTCTGGGCCCAGCAGCCTTAAATTCCACAACCCCTACACCCTAAGCCCCAAACCCCAAACATGATCTAACCCCAAGCCCTATGTCAGTGAGAGCCTTTGCGAACCAGTAGGAGCTGATTGGTCTTCCCTCCTAGCTGGTTCTAAAGTTTACACGGCTTAGGCTTAACCAAAATTAGGGTTTTGGTTCAGGGTTTCAGGGTTTTCTTAGGGGTTTCGGTTCTTTCAACCGGGCTTAGGCCAAGATAAGAGTAGTGCTCTAAATTAGCGTCCCTTTTGGGTTCCCCAATGTAGTACGGCACCCTTATAAAAAGGACCCTAAAAGGGGCCCTAATTTAGACAANNCAACTAACCATAAAGGCAGCAACAGACGCGGAAAATCGTGAGTGTGCAGACCCGGGTCCAAGAGATCCGCGCTTCGAAGCCTCCCAGGGCTTTCCGGAGTTTGCACAGTCCCTAACAAATATAGGGGCCTTAATAAGTAGAA